AACCCTCCACTAGACCAGGTTGCCCAAAGCCTCATCCAACCTGGCCTTGAACACTTCCAGGGATGGAGCCTCCACAACTTCTCTGGGCAACCTGTTCCAGTGCCTCACCCCCCTCATAGTGAAGAATTTCTTCCTTATTTCTAATCTAAATCTACCCTCCTTCAGCTTACAGCCATTACCCATCATCCTATCCTTACATGCCCTTGTAAACAGTCCCTCTCCAGCTTTCCTGTAAGGCCCCCTTTATGTACTGGAAGGCTGCAATAAGATCTCCCTGGAGCCTCCTTTTCTCCAGGCTGAACAGCCCCAACTCTCTCAGCCTGTCTTCATAGGAGAGGTGCTCCAGCCCTCTGATCAGCTTTGTGGCCCTCCTCTGGACTCGCTCCAACAGCTCCATGTCCTTCTTGTACTGGGGCCCCCAGAGCTGGACACAGTACTCCAGCTGGGGTTTCATGAGAGCGAAGTAGAGGGGGAGAATCACCTCCCTTGACCAGCTGGTCACACTTCTTTTGATGGGCTACTGTAAATCCATTCTCCACCCAGCTTGTAGTTGTGCTTGGGATTGCACCAACCCATGTGCAGGACCTTGCACTTGGCTTTGTTGATCCAGTGCTCTTGTCTCCAAATGTTATCCAGTGCTGAAACTTCCAAACAGATCTCTGCTTTTGTCAAAGTACCTCAGCTACAGATCTCATATGATGAGTTTGAATGATCTAATACTTTGTTTCTCCATGAAGTAGAATGCCCATATATGCAGCCTTTTGAAGGAGAATTTTTGGAATTTTTCAAGATGTGTTGTCCATTTGCATATTGCATTAAATCCTGTTCTCTCCCTTTGCCTCCAAATCTGGCATTTGTTGGACTCAATCATGAGATGAAATGTGGATGCAGCTAACAAGCTGGGTTGTCTTTGCCTTGCATGTGGAATTCAACCAATGTGGCTGGCCAGAAATGTCTCCCAACTGATCCATACAGAGGCTTATCTTAACCTACAGTTCTTTGGTATATAATTTGTAGACTTAACTTTCTAATTTCATTACTTTGCATTATATTCTGAGTTTAATTGTAAACTAATCAAAGCAATCAAGTTGAGAGGGAAGTTTCTTGTTATAGGCAAAACCATAGTTGTAGTCTAAAGTACACAGATCTAATAACATTCATCCTTGCATTTACCTTTGCAATTTTTCATCACTTGGAAAGTATTTTATATGTATTAGTGTATCTCAAAAAATAGTTTAAGGTTGGTTTCTGTTATTAATGAATTTCCTATTTTTTTTTCTTCCCCTCCTTCCTCCTCCTCCATTCTTCTTTCTTTGAAAGGTGGCTAATGGAAAGATCCAAAACCTTGAAGCCACAGTGGAGCTTTTGTTGACCAATGAAGGCAAATTGAAGCAGTCCATTCTCACTCTTGAGCAGGAACGAGCAGCTTTGCTGAAAGCAGTGGAAGAAATGCAGAAAAAGATTGGTAGTACAGACGGGAAGCCTATACTTACTAGACAAGAACACATGGATGCTGAGTGACGTTCACAGTTGTAATGGAGCAGAGAAGCTGAGCAAGAAACAAAGGGAAGAACTGGGTCTTTTTGTCATGATCCATAGGGATTTGACATTGTCACCTCCATCATACATGCCTTACTGTAGCAAAGCAAGATAGGGGCATGGTGACTTCCCAGATCAGAGAAGCTGGTTTCTCAGGAAGAAGGCTCTTCCTTCTTAGGATGTAGAAATACTATGAACAGTAAGATGCCACATAATAATAAGCAGGAGAAACTTAATACTGCTTGCACTCATACACAATACACCATAAAGATGTCATGGGTTCTTCCATAAGTGCTTCTAAACCTAAGTGCTTTGTGTTCATCACATTTTGTGTGTAGATCACCACCATGTTAAATAGCACATCCTTTAGAACATCCTTTGAAGAAATGTGGCAGTGTAAAACCTTTGAAAGGATGACTGCTCCATTGCAGCTATGCAGTGGTAACATTTACAGAGAGTTGTGTGATTGGACTCGAGATATTTTTGACAGTGTAATTCCCTTACAGCTTGACGGGGTTCTGTTAATTATGTTGTTTACGCTTCAGAAAACTGCTTGAAAGTGTCAATCTATTGGACTCCAGAGAGCTGGACTTCATCATATGTAACTATGCATAATTGGGGGGTTGCCATCTGTTTTTATAAGTATATTGTTTTCATACATTTTTTTGTTTAACAACCATTAATTTAGTGTATTGTTAGTTGGCATTATCTGATAAACATACTGTATATAGTAACTGCATTATGCTTAACAAAATATACTGACATTGGTTTGGTGAAGCCTGTGACTCTTGCAACATCATCCAAGGATTTATATTCAGAGTCTTCAAGTTTCATTTTATTTATTTCTGATCTGCTGTGTGATGTAAGACATCCTCTTACTGGGAAAATAATGTCCACTGTCATTTTTTTTTCCCTTATTTGGTACTTTGTGCACACCCACCCTTGTCTAGGAAGTGTTATTCTTTAAGACCTTTTCTGAAGTAGTGGAGGCATTTCAAGAACTTCATGTTGTGCCAGATACACTTAAACTGTTTTATAAAGGGTATGGCAGTTTGAATTAGGATACCATTCTTTTTACAATGCATCTTTCGAGCAAGATTATATGTAAAAAGAAAAATAATTCTCACTTTCCTTAATACAATGAAAGTAGTTTTCAGGCCAGTTAAAGCACCACTGCTACAAGTGCAATAATATCCATGGATATCCAGTTGTTTGGGTTTGTTTCAGAGTTAGACATAGAGCCATAGTTTTATTCAGTCCCCAAGCAAAGTTAATAGGCATCAGTGTTTTCTTATGGTGGAGATTCACCCAAGAGATGTGATTATTTTTTTTCTTAAATTGATGTTTTTATTTTTAAAACTTCAAAGCACACAGTTTTTTTCCTCTGGCAATGTAGAAAAGGTTTTATTTTGCTTTTTTCCTTTTCTCCTGCAAATTCCCAATTGTGATTGTAGTTTAATAGGAGAGCTGTAACATTCATCTACTGTGCAGAACAAATACCTCTATGTAGGTCAAAAAGAAAAAGAGAATTTACTCTTCAATTTCTAGAACTTTGACTCTGTTGTGTCTTAAATTTGTGTGGTTCTTGCAAATCCACTCAGTATTCACTTAGTATGGAAATTCCAGATAAATCAGTTATTACTAATCCATTTACCTCTTCAGCTTATTTTTTTTTAATTTGGAAATCCATATTGAAGCTCATGCTTCATGTTTAAAATCTTGTCATAATGGACCTCGTACTGTTTGAGCACTCCATAATGTTGCATTTTTACAGCTTAGTGCCATAATTCATACACTTTTTAACAAGAGCAATAAAATAGTAATAAACTATGCCTACATCTATGTTTGTACATTTTTTTGAAATTTAAAAACAAAAACATAGTTGGTGGGATGACCGTTCAGCACTGTGTAAGATGAGACTTTTCCTGAAAGTACAGTAGCATCCACAGAGGTTATTAATGAAAACTCTTAGTCCTCAGACTCCTCTAAACATGCTGTGGATCCAGTTGTCATCCTGGGACCTGCATATGTTTACTAAGTACGTTCCACATGACTCCAGGGATGCATTCCTTTTTGTGATGTTTTTCTTCTCTGCCAGTGTAAGTGGAGGACTACTTAGAGCCCCCAAAGCCTTTTATTGAGAATTTGTGTAATTCCAGAAGTAAATGCACTTAGATGAGAACTAAAGTCACTGTTCTCAGAATGCACAAATGTGGTAGATAACAAGCAACTTTATGCTCTTGTGACTGTATCGATGTAACTGTTTCATTGTACCAGGGAGTTGAATTTTCTGTGGGTACAAATCAATTTTCTATTTGTACACACACAAATTAATATGATTTTGTTAAATATGCAAATACCTGGCAAAGTGAGGGATCATGCCATCCACCAGTCCAGGTTCTGAACATGAAGAAAATAGTCGATTTAAGTCTTTCTGCTGCTTACACTGAAGCAGATATATAGTATGTTGCTTCAGTGTGTCTTTCCCCATCCTGTGCTGATTTTGGTCACCAGACCTCTCCAGTTCAAGGGCAAA